TTAAGCTTGCTATAAATTACTTACATGACTTAAGTATAAACAGCCATAATGCACCGCGCGGCGTAAGGGAACCATAGGTGCGTGGGAGTACTTTTACTAGTAGAGGTTTACTATATTCTTTTCAAACGAAGAAATATTCTGGCGTTTAGGAGTGTAAAGATAAGGCATCCAATGGCAGAATCCATAAACATAAACTTTCTTGCGAAATTTATCTTATCCTTGCATCCTTATTGAGAATATTGTGTACCGTCGGTTTGCTTATAACGCTCACCGTCGCGTTGTAGCATTCTTCACACGAACAGAGATTTTTCCAAACAACGCTACCCGTGGTGAAATTTTATCCTATTCATCTCCTCGATTTAATAGGAAGAGCCTCCCAGTCTGAGATAGTGAAGTATCTCACTGAAGTGGCGTACTTCTATAAGATGGTCATGTCTAATCATCTGTACGTGGTTCTGCGTAATTTGCAAAGAAATTCTACTGTCAGTAACATATCTATGTAGACTATTTTTTTACCTAGAAATTCAACTACGATATAGCAATAATATATCAATGTTGGATTTTAGGTTCTGACATCGGTGGTTATGAAGAATTGTATCTACTGTTATATAACGCCCTGCAGTCACTTGAATGTGAGCCTACATTTCAGAGGGAAAATTCGCTTCCACCTTCAGGACCGAAATATAAGTTAAGCAAGAAACTAGTATGTAGCCTGCAACAAGCAGGACGTTGTATCCCAGACGGGAGAATACTTTACAACCATTACAAGTTTTTAGGAAATACCAGTACCAAATATTACGATAAGTTAGATTTAGGTGCCTACCTCGTGTTATGTTCTGCTGGCTGTAAATGTTCTGAGCCTACTGTAAAGTCATAAATCATTGCATTAAATCAATCAATTGAAGGGTCTTTAACTTGCTATGTTGCACAATATTAGTGTCACATTATGTGTATGTACTCTTTTAACACATTCCTTTTTTTCTCTCTCTGTTCAGCCTACTTTTCTTCCTTTGGAAAAAAAATATTTCAGCCTACTTTCCTCAATTTCAAATAATGAATGCAGGCTTATGAGATCGATTTGCTGTCTGTGTCTCTGTATGTGTGTCCCCCCCCCTCAACCATTAACTTGAATTCCTGAACCAAACTTTATTAAACATTGACTATAAATAATTCCACCTTTGTTTATCCCACTTCATAATTGACAAAACCCTCCCGTCATTATGGTCAATATAACAGCCTCTAAAATTGCTGAGACAAAATCTTAATATTGCTTGAAAATCTGTACTAACCTTCATGAAACTTGGTACGTGTGTCATGTCACATGAAACCATCTCAAAACGTAGTTAATAAATTCCTCCCAACACTAATACCAACGCTGCAGCCTCTCAAATTTTTGAGGTGATACATCTGATATTGCATGAATGTCGCAACCAATCATTATGAAATTTGGTATGCATATCATGTCACATGAAGCCATATCAAATTATACTTCATAAACCGCTCGCATCAATGGTACCAACATTCCAGTCTCTGAAATTTTGTAGGTAACTGACTAAATATATTTTGAAAGACTAAATAGATCATTATCAACGTTAATATGTATCAAGCTACCTAATGATATCTCAACTGTATACTATATAAATCCCTCGTATCAGTAATGCCAACTCTACAGCCCGTCTCAGAGCCGCTCCAGCCATCCTCGCCTTCCCGTGGTGCACCCTGTTCCCACTGGCGGGGCTCTGGCAACAAGTTTATCACTTTAAATTTTTTAGTGTAATCTGGTTCTATAAAACTTAAGTTATATTATTGATTTATTCACTCAAGCATTTCTAATAAAGTTTTTTTCGACTTTTATCAAATGCTCAATTTGAAGGCGATTAAGGTTTCCCAGAACTTCTTGTTTGTTGTAAGTAATATTTCGTTGATTCTATCGAATTCTTCTACTGACAACAAATCTAACAAATACATTAGTAAAACAACAACTATCATAATAATCAAACGGGATGTGGTTTAATTGCCTGCTCCTAAATACTTTACATGTAACTGGTCCCTCCATGTTCTTCAGGAAGCCAAAACTTTTTTCCATCGTACATCGTACTCCAGTTCGAGTCCCGCTGTTCTGCCTACTTTTCTGAATTTTATTCAATGTTTACATCGTACTCCAGTTCGAGTCCCGCTGTTCTGCCTACTTTTCTGAATTTTATTCAATGTTTCCGGTATTCATAGATTTGTAAGGAAAAATTAATTATGGCATGGAGTTTCGTAATCATTCATTAAAATGGAATATTTGTTTTATGAATGTTGTAATTTGCATTGTTTTCTTTCCTATATGAATCCCATGTCATTCCCTTCAAGAAAGTTCGAGTTATTACTATTTTTTCTGTGTTTCGGTCTCCGATCTCTACTTTTGCACAAAGATCTGCGTCCTGACTGAGAACTTTCATGGTTTTCCTCGTTTTTCTGCAAATATCCAAACAATGGAGGTTAACATATTCTCACGAGCATAAAATAAGTTAATACAATTTTCTTTTTTTTTCTTAAAAATGTTTCGACCACACGCGGTCATCATCAGGTGAAAAGTAACCTAAAATTAGCTATATTCAATATAAACTGATTTCTTTATATGCGTAAATGTAAGGTAAGAAAAGGTAAAGATATCTTTGCGAAAGGCCGTGAAGGCCCATAGAGTTGTGAGAAGTCGAGGCTCTTACATTTTCTCTAGATAATCGGCTCATAGATTTCAGGTATTCATTTTTGTTATAGGCTGAGTCGACCGCAGGGCCATAGTGTGGCTGGAAGGTTTAGGTAAATTGAAAATAATCCACCTCATCGGGACTCGAACCCGCCACCTTCCAGCTTGTAGCATAGCGCCACAACCAACTACGCTACTGTGTTCACCTCTTTGTTTATGTGTGTTAATTTATAGAACGTATCAGAAATATAAGTGACATGAGACTTTATTGGAAATTGGTCGGATCCGATCCAAAATTCAAAAAGACTTGAGTGCAACATTAAGTATTAGGCCTATTCGCTTTGTAACAAAATTCGGCACAAATGTCTTGGATTGTTGCCCTCATTATGTGCATGGCTTCCTTTCTGGTAAATTCGATCCAAACAGTTGTTTCATATATTATATTTGAACGTTATGATTACTAACAACTGCGTGTTGTTTTCAGTAATGGCTGAAGTTGACCTGAAAAATTAATAAAATTTGAGTAAACCAGTTGTAATGAAATGAACTGGCTTTCCACAGACATTTCGGAAAAACGCAACAATTCTACGTTAAAGTAGGTGACTTCCAGCAGAATCTACTGCGTCATGGTGCGCACACATTTCATTGGATAGCGGGTCCAATATTTCTTTTGGTGGAAACATCTAAACAACAAACATGTTATTCCTGATGTGTAATGACATTAAGTACCCTTGCTCTGCTTTCGATAGTGATTTCCGTTGTCACGAAGACATGACATATATAAGAGACCGACATATTCCGCTCTGACGGAAACACCATACTGTAGCCGTACCACTGACACCACCATCTTTATTTGTAATCAATATTTCTTTTTAGAGTAATTAAGCATGGGATGTAGTAAGGAACATTCAAGGGTGACTTAGCCCGATTATTGGTTTCAAGAGTAGGGCCTGCTTCACTGCTACAAAGACCAGGCAGGAAGCACCCCGCAGAGTTTTCCTGGAAATTCAGTTCGAAAGTTGACCGGCGGGATCCTTTGGTAAAGTTACACTTGACAGGTTTTGAACCCCGTAAGTCAAAAGTGGGAAGGCCAGCAACCCACGCTACTGGTATAATTTTTCAAGCAGCTGTCAATAACGACGTTAGGACTTTAGGGTCCAAAGTCCCAAATTAAAGCTAGGTGACTGGAGCAGTGAGAATTATGATTAACTCCCTAAATTCGAGTTGTTCCAATCAGCAGAAATTAGGGTAGTAACTTGGAGGCGGAGCTGAAGCCGTGAAGATTTCTTGCTTCGAAGCAGGGTCAGTCTGCGAGAGGAGTCTCTGAACAACTCTCCAAGTGTACAGCCGAAAACTACCGTCACTGGCAGTTGGGTTTAAAAGTCAAAGTTAAAACAGAATTATGTTTAAGTGTGTTACGGGAACAATCCCTGAATAACTTCAAAATTTAACGTGAATCTTACTTTGTCTTGAGAGTTTAAGTGAATGTGTTACTTCTATGTGTTGTGCTAAAGAAGCAGTCGCTAAATAACTAGCCAGGGATCTGGTCGCCAACGTTTGAGCGATTTCAAGTAGGTTTAAGAGATTAAGGACAAGTGCTGCTACATGTACATCAAGATCTGCTAATTAAACAGTGTGTGTTAGTGCCTAGCTATAAAGACTCTTATCTTTCCCGCTGACGCGAGGCCCGTATTCACCCTGAGACAGAATCTCATCGCTCTAGTGAGAATACGGTACCTATCACCTGTAGTTTCCGGTTCATCCTCCCTTTTTCCTGAATTGTAAGCCTTTATAGTAAGCTTACTGGCGCCCAGCATTAAGGTAACCCATACCCCGCAAACAATTATCCACAACAACATCAAAAAAAAAGGGAGCAGAACTGGATAAAAAGGACGCAGCAGCAACCTGCAAACTCGAAGTACCAACAGGTGAAACAGGTGAGAGGGAAGGGCTAGAGGAGCAGATGCAACCAGCAACCAAAGGGCCGTAACGGCTAAACGGTTACAATAGGTGTAACATGGTTAATAGTGTTATGTATGAATGTTTAAGAACAAAGAATTCGGGTATAAGAACAACTGGAATTAACTAATTCGCGTATTATGAACATGTGTAGATATGTATGGACCTGAAACTTCGGTTGCGCTTGAGGAAAGAGAACAATAAACAGAGATAACAAGATGTAGAGGAAGTCTGGCGTTTCACTGACTCGCGATAATAATATTGACGTAATTTTGCACATCAAAAATAAATGTAATAGCGGGTCTGAGCACTGCTTGACTTTCTTCCACATACAAACATCAAATCTTGCCTGTCATATTGACGAAACAGACAAAAGACTGTTCTACCCTGGCCACTGTAGGCCTACCCCACACTGTGACTTGATAACGGCACCGATCACTACGTTAAATGGGATTTCTGTTATTGCTAGTGGGGTGGGACTAAGTTCGTTGTACTGCGGCCACTTCTGGCCTATTGTACCAGCCAAAGATGATAGGTGAGAGTGATTGTGGAGGAATTGGTGGAATGAAGATTGGCAGGGGAAACCGAAGTACTCGGAGAAAACCTGCCCCAGCGCCACTTTGTCCACCACAAATCCCACTTGACCAGTCCCCGGGATCGAACGCGGGCCGCCGCGGTGGGAAGCCAGCGACTAACCGCTTGAGCTAAGGCGCAGCACTCGTTAAGTGGGATACTCGCAAAGGTAACGCTGATCAGAGCGATACGTTTCTCGGAAGTGAATTTACTGTATACTGATACGCCAGATTCTCTGCGTGGCTTAATACTGTGGCTATATTAATTGGTGGCATTTCATTTCTCTAATTTAATGTTTATATGTAACAAAATTGGGATATCTTATTCTCATTCGGTATTATGTGTAATGTAGCACGTATGAAAAATCAGTAATTTATGAAAAGACAATTTCTTAATACATGAAAGTAAGAAATCACTTGGAGAACTTATACATGTATTAAAAGTGTATATTACAGGGAATTCTGGAAAGAACTAATCCCCTTCTTTCCCTTGATACGAAACTGAACGCATAGAAAACCAAAAAATATTAGGAGGAGCACAGAGGCACACGGAGAGAGAGCTGATCCCTTAAACCTAAAAAGTTGGTGGAATACACCAAGAGAGAGTGAGGAAGGTGACCTCACAAACCTGAAATTTTAAGGGGAGGGGGGTGTTATACACAGACTGGTAAACAGACTGCAAAATGATCCGGTAATTATACTTTAATTTTTTTAAAAAAAGAGGAATGTAAGCTAAAAATTAATCATAATGAAATTTTGGGTGAAATTCGGAACTGGATACTTGCACAGAAGAAGTTCGAGGAAGAAACTTTGGATCGTGTATGGAACTGCTTCTCCATAGTTCGGAGGCAGAGGGATCACGTCTATGCTTGCTGAGTTTCCAGTGGCCCCTTCCTTACTCTCTCGAGGCGAAATCCTTGATATTTTATTTATTTAAACAGTATTGAGATATTTTCTGTCTGGGTTAGAAACTCTGTAGGTGTGTAGAGACGATACGACGTAAATTTGAAAATATTTAGAAGAACCTCAAAATCAGGAGGGTTAGTGTACTTGATCTACATCATTCTCGAGTCTTAACAATCGCACTTTCTCCAAAATGTTTCCATCCCAAAACTGCATAAGTTATTCTTTGAGTCTCCATTCTAGCCATATGTCCAGCCTGTCAACTCCCCTTAAATATTGCGTGGGGCGTAGATGTTGACAAATTTCTCGTTCTGAAACATCCTAAATTACTGTATCTCTTATAGGTCCAAATACGTTCGTGAGACTTTATTTTAGAGGAATTTCAAATGTATCACATTCCTTCAAAATCAGACTATATACAATTTCTGGTGTCAATTCATGCAAGTGTAAATTTAGTTCCGTTATGTATGCGAGTAGTGTTCAGTGCTATTAAAGAGTGAATAAATAATTACTGAAAATGCTAAAGCCTTGAAGCGGTGTACGTGACGGTACCATAAGGAACCTCCTGCTCTTTCCCAGCCTGGCCCATATGACCCTAGATAAGAACTCATCTCTACCATCACTGAACAGAACCCAGCTACTCCCGACTTTTCCTTACTTGCGCGACACCTTAGTAATCGTACCTGCAAAGAAACTTTGCCTACTAGCACCAGAAACCACAGTTCTCCTTCCTTACCACGGTAACTTCTAGACATCAACGAGACAGGGAAAGAGTGCAGTATAACTTGAGTGAAGGCGTCTAGGAACACGGCGAAGGTGAGCAGCAAAGGGAACGGAGGGGCAGTCATACAAGTTACGGATAAACGAAAGGGCCGAAAGACAGTTACTAGTGGTTCCCAACGCGAGGCATAAGTTCACCCGTGAGGAAGACTATTACAAGTGATATCCAACGTTCGGACATAAGCACAGTTACACTACGTAACTAAATTGCTTTTCAAACAAGCAGATATTAAACTTTGAACGAAAATAATTCGTGAAAGTCTGGAGTTTTATTGGCTCATGGATTTATAACCAGGACTAAATACGTATTTGCCCTTCTTACGCGTCACTTTGCTTCTGAAGGAGATAAGACTACGCTGTTACTCCTGGCTCTTTATCAGTGAGCATTACAGTGCGTCTTCAGCTCGTCACGGATCACAACGTCAAGAGATGTAATTGCGCAGGTAATGCTGATCTCTGTCTTGTCTAAGTTTGTCAGAAGTGAATTTATTGCACAATGACATACCAAATACTGTTTGTTTTAATATTGCACCCGTATTAACAGAATGCATTTCTTTTTTTCTTCTTCAACTGTATGCTTAAGCACAGCAGAAATGCCCAATTCATATTGTAAACAACGCGCATGAAGACGATGATAACCGCATAACAAGCTGCAGGATTTGAGGTTCTCACAGTGGTGGTTATGAAGAAAACAATCTCCTGGGATATACACGTAACGCCTTGTAGTCCTTTGAAAGAAAAGTGACGTTTCGGGGTAACATATCACCTCCACCTTCATAGTCGAGTAAACCGAGCAAGATACGATGGTGCTTTCCACCTGCTTTTACGCTGATACCTTGCTCGGCTTATTTGACCCAGGAGATGGAAAGAGGCATATCCCTCCTCAAAGTCGGGTAACTTTCCATGGGCTATGAGGCGTTATACGAGGTAGAGCCAGTAAATAGATCCCAAATGGAAGTAATAAATTGTCTTTGTGCATCACTAGGTAGCAGCAGTGTCCAGCTTCATGACAGTCTAGGTAGCAGACACGCATGCGCATGTTCAGAAGCTGGTTTCAGTATTCAAAATGGCGACCGTGCTTCGGGTGTGTGCTACGTTTTATTGTGGGCAAAAGGACTCAATGCAAAGGATATTCATAAACAGATGTTTCCTGTTTACCGTAGGAAGCCTTTGTCGCGTAAAGCGGTTCACGAAAAGGTAGAGAAATTCTCTCAAGGGCGTTAAAAAATTGTAGATGATGAAACGTATTGGTAGAAATGTCCAGAGACAACAGTCAAAAGGTTTCTATGCTGCGGGTTTCGACGCACTGGAAAAAGTGTATCAGTGGTGGTGGAGGATATGTCGAGAAATAAATGTTCTTTACGTGTTGGAATATCACATGTTTTATATTTTATGTGCATTTGTGACCTATTTACTTACTCTCCCTCGTATCTCAGAAGATAGAATTCCATATAAGAAGCTGAAGTCACAAGTCATGAACAGAAGATACAACTCGAGGGGACAGAAACCTGGAAGGGAGCATGATATTAGAATGGGTCTGAAAGAAACACGATGTGAATTCAGTTTCCTCGGGATCAGACCGAGACATGAGGGCGCGGTAGCGTAGTTGGTTGAGGCACAATGCTACAAGCCGGAAGGTTGCGAGATCGAGTTGCGATGAGGTGGAGTTCTCAATTGACCTAATCCTTCCAGGAACACTATTGCCCTGGGGTCGACTCAGTCTCTAACAAAAATGAGTACCAGGAATATTCCTGGGGGGCTAAAGGGCAGCCGGCGCGTAAGACTGACAATCTTACCGCCATCTCTGAGCCGATTTTCTAAAGCAAATGTTGGAGCCTCGACGTCTCACAACCCTACGGCCTACATGGCTTGTTGCAGGGATGTCCTTACCTTTGTACCCTTACATGTCTCTTTAGTTCAGTCGCCACAGATTTGGTTATATCTAGACTCAGTTCTGTATCATTCTCTGGAACCAAGTTTCGGGATGACACATATAGTTAGTCTTATCCTATTTTCAGGTAATGTCCTTTTTATCAGAAGGTCTGAGTAAAATAAAAAAGGGCCTCGGTCAAGATATTTCGTGTTCTGCCTGATGCCTTATCCAAATAAATTACATAGGCCAGTAATGTTATTGAAAGAATAATATTCCGGTTGAAAGAAAATTTCCAAACCAGACGTGTGTTCATTTTCCCGATAATAACCAAACATCTACTTCATTAAGCGACGTATTATATATTAACTTCTGTATCAATCATGATAAGAATAATTTAACGAAGATATCGCTCTTAATATCCTAGTAGGATTACTGGGATAAACAGCAGCCTCATGAGGCTGATATATGTTGCCTTAATTCTGATAAAATTATTCTGGCTTAAACAGCATCTGTTCTTTATTTTTACCTCTGTAATATGTCATCTAATGATGACACAGCAACTCTGCAGTTTCTCTGCACGAAATTCACTTACAGTGCTATCATTCTTATCATAACAGCATTCTGAAACGTATTACAAATACGAATCTCTAATAATTCACTTTTGCGTGCACTGTCCTACCAACTTTAGCGGATAAAAGTGTCGCGTGGTCAGAGGAACGAATCCCCACGGCTTTTAATTGGAACTAACGTCGTCGACAGATAGCGCTTGCTCAGTCGGTATAGTTCGCTTGCGGACTAAAACCACGGAGTTTTTTGTTTTGTTTTGTTAACTGTACTCTTTACTACTGAACTCAAGTCGTTGACCTTAATTTGTCTGGTTTTAATCCTATAGGTCCAACTTGAAGCGTAAATGGGGTTCATGCTTGAAAACACATTTCTGGATGTGGGGGTTCTGGTAGCCTCTCTCTTCGCAGTGTTATATGTCTACTTCAAATTATCCTTCACCTACTGGAAGCAAAGGAACGTACCTTACATCAAACCAACATTCCTCTTTGGAAATTTCAGAGACCTGATACTTTTTAGAAAATCTCAAGGTCATGTGTTCGAAGATCTTTACAAAAAACTAGACGGTGAGAAATGTGGAGGTACTTACACTTTCACGAAACCTACATTCATATTCCGTGACCCAGAGATTATTAAAAATGTCCTGGTTAAAGACTTCGCCAGTTTCCATGATCGCGGCTTCTACGTGAATGAAGAGACTGAACCCCTTTCTGGTCACTTGTTCTTTCTCTGTGGAAACAGATGGAGAAATCTTCGCGCCAAATTGACACCAACTTTCACTTCCGGTAAAATGAAGATGATGTTTCAAACTTTGGTTGAGTCTGGGCACGAACTTGGAACCATTCTAGAAGAAACCGCCAATAACGAAGAGATTATTGAAATCAAAGATACCTTGGCTAGGTACAGCACGGACGTGATATCGTCATGTGCATTTGGCATCCAATGTAATTGTCTCAAGAATCCAGACGCTGAGTTTCGTCAATGGGGAAGAAAAGTCTTCCAAGCGTCGGTGAAATCAGCAATAATTGGATCTCTCCTTGGTATTTTTCCCTTTTTGGTGAATGTGTTGAAGATCAGAGGTTTAGATCCAAAAGTTTCGAAATATTTCCGAAGTATGGTTCAAGACACCGTGAACTATAGGGAGAAAGACAACATTAAGCGCAATGACTTTTTGCAACTGCTTATCCAGATCAAGAATGAGGGCAAAGTGGAGGAAGAACACAGTTATCCTAAACAGAATGGTCATGGAAATAAGAACAGATCTGGTGAGAGCGGTATGTATTTCTCATGAGTGTTATATATAATAAATGTTTTCATTCTTTCTCCTTGGGATGTTCAGCTCAATTGCAGCATTTGTCTTCTTATACAGACAGCTCCACACGTTCCTCTCCAACATGTTCTGCATGTACTTTGTATAGTTCCCTTTTATTACAGCCTTCTTAATTCATCTTAATACATCCATGCCTCGCTTTCGATATCTCTTCGTTCCTCAGGTTTTTAACTACCTATTTTTCCAAGCTTTCCGAAATTTAAATCATGTGCAAAGACACCCAAATATTTAAACTGAAAAATATAATATCTTTAACAAATATAGAACGTATCATAACTCGCAAAAATCCCTGATACTGTTCTTCTAGTTACAGACTAATGTATAATGGCATGTCACCCATACACAAAGACTGGTGAAAATATTTGGCACCTGTTTCAAAGTTAAGAATTCGACTGCTCTCACAGGGAAGAATTTATTGTTTTTTTCCCATTCTCGAAATATAGAAAGATCTATTCTTGTTAGTTTCATTAGAGATATGTGGATTAGTTCTGTGACATCAGAATAGATAATTTATGTATTGTGCAGATCAACTATGCCCTGAATATCTCACGTAGTTGGAACTACGCAATCTCAGAATCTTTGCCTTAACATACGTGAAATTTCTTTACAGTTTATACACTTAGCCTTTTATGTTGCAGGTTTTTCGATGAACTCGCTGGCGGCCCAGGCTTTCGCTTTCTTTCTTGGGGGTTTCGAGACTTCGTCAACCACCATGACTTTCTGTATGTACGAGCTGTCATTGCACCAGGATATACAGGAACGTCTCCGGGAAGAGATCGATGCTGTGCTGAAGAAACATGAAGGCAATATTACGTATGAAGCCATCCAAGAGATGAAGTATTTGGATAAAGTTGTCGCAGGTAATCCTTATCATTAGTAGGAAGTGTAAGAATTCCATAAACAACATCAACATCGCCATATCAAACCTATAGTTTCTTCTGTACACATTTCTTATAGTTGAATCTAATTAGCAGTACTAAACTATATCGTTCACTTTTTTCTAGAATCTTGCGTTTCTTCTCTATTTGTGTTTTATTGTCACGTGTTAGCTGGAAGCCAAATTTTAAAACCAAAAGAGACAGTCGTTGCGTGGGAACGGCTATGTAAACACATCCGTTGCTGGGCTCTCAGTGCAAAGCATGTGACCATAGTCGCGCTTACACGAAACATTTGAACACCTCACATCACGTCGTGTCACTAAATACTTCGTCCGCTGCTAGGACATACCACAATCTACACCTCTCCGCGATAGCATGGACCTCACGCAAGAACAAAGGAACTGTTTGAAGCGCTGTTTTCTGTTGGTTCCGTCCCGAGGTTTTATCGCCAGGACCAGCGGGACAAGAAGAGTAGTCTCGAAATGGCGGAGTTAGCAGAGTAGGAATCTGCTGTGAGATGGACGACAGCCTCCAAGGTCGTGAGCACGGGAGCAGAGGAACGTCCATTTTTGGAAGATGTTACCCAACAGCGCAATGGAAACCGGGACTAAGATCACTAGTCTGTGTGTAACGGTGGTATGCAGAGCGTAGTCACGAGAGTCGAGACTCTTGAAAAGGCGGGGTTAGTCGAGTATATTTAGAGTACGGAAGCAGGTAATCCGTGTAAACCCGAGGGCGAAACTGTCGCAAGCGAAAGCGTGGGAGACGGAGGAGTTCCGACAGTGCCACATTGAGTAGTCAACGGTTGGCTGTCTAAAGAAAGAGATCCTGGTCCCTGGTTAGGAGGCCAGCGGAAAAACACTACAGTCTTGAGACTGTGGGTAGCGAGTGCAGTTCTTAAGCCTTAGCGGCGTGGGAAATAGTCCTAGTTAGAAGGCTGTAACCAGGCAAAGACTAGTAGAGTCTCTGATAAGCTGAGAAAAATAATGTGGGTTATGCAGATCTGTGCTGCATTACACAGGATGTCCGGATGAAAGACATCCGAAATAAAATAATTATATCTCAGAAAGCCTTAACTATACACATTTATGGGTTACCCCATTATAAAGGAAAACTATCAAAATTTTGTCTGAATATATAACATTCTCAATAAATATGAATGTGAACTACCTTGGTGGTTCGAGAATTATCCAGACGATATTCGACCTCGTTCCAAATTACTTGAAGAATGTGTGGGATGTCGTATGAAGAGACAACCGCTAGTTGATTGAACTGTCCTATTGGATTTATTGCAGCTGAATAGCGAGCGTTGCAGAAATGCGTGATAATATGTGGGATGTGCCCACATCACTTCCCCCCCCCTTGCGAGAAGTGATGCTGTTGCTTGCGAGTTGTCTGCGGTGTCCATGCTGCGCCGGGATGAACCAATGTGGGAGTCGTTGATGATCTTCACCACGCGCGCTTCCAATCACGTCGGCGTCACCAATGTGGGATGTCGTACGAAGAGACAACCTCTAGTTGAACTGTCCTATAGGATTTATTGCAGCTGAATAACGAGCGTAGCAGAAATACGTGATAATATGTGGGATATTCCCACACATGTTTTGTGTTACTCTAGCCACAGCTTCCCTTATGCGGGCTTTCAGGTTTCGAAGGTCGTCAATCTTAACCTAGTAGACAATTTTCTTCCCATAATCCCACAAGAAAAATCCAGTGGGGTTAGATCTTGCTACCTAGGAGGCCAAGAATTTGGCCCCCCTCAGCCGATCCATCTCCCAGACATCTCTCTGTTCAGGTGATTGCTAACATGATGGAAGAAGTGTGGCGGCGCCCCATCTTGTTGGAAAATAGTTTGGGGTGGTAATTGGGGCAGTGCATACAGCTCCAGCATTTCCCAGTACGAATGTCCGGTCACAGAATATTCCGAAGAGAAAAACGCTCCAATCAACTTTTCGTGCATTCAGCCGACCCACACATTCGCTTTGCGGCTGCCTCTCACCAGTTCACATGTGACATGTGGATTTTGACTACTTCAAATCATGAAGTTGTATCTGTTTACAATTCGATTGACATGGAACGTCGCCTTGTCCGAGAAGCCCACTTGGCGGAGGAAATTGGGTGACGTGTCAATTCTTTCTAGAATGTCCACAGCGAATTTTGTACGTGCTACTTGGTCCCTCGGTTTTAGTGCATGAATCATTTGAATCTTGTACGCTACGCTCTTAGGCGGAGCCTTTTGTGCAGCACATCGTGCGCTGTTGAACGTGGAATTTGTACGTAACTGCAAGCTCGCAGCATGAATTGATTTGCACGGACTTAGCTGGAATGCCTCTTTAATGGGATTGGCATTTTCTTCAGAGGTCCATGTCTCTTCAGGAGATTTTACACGCAACAAACTATTTCAGTCCTCGGTGTGTTCTCCCAGAACAGAAAGTTTCTGTGTTTTTATGTTTACGTCCATATTGCGTTCTTAAACGACGCTGGACAGCCGTAAGGTATTGCAGCTCTGCTAGCCACAACCTGTTCCTGCGATATCGACATTGTTACTGAGCTTGACGAAGGTTGCCAGCTGGCGCATGCGCGTAATCCGAGCATAATAAGAAAAATTTCAGATTTTTTTTTTTCGATGACATAAACCGGTAACGTATATGACAATTAGTTTCCGAGATATATATATTTTTTTATACCTTTCTTCCGGACATTTNATCCGGGCATTTGTATAGTAGTTACCAGCTTTCAGAGCCCATTAAATCGGTCTATAGTCAATTGCGTGACATTATGTTTAAATGTCTTTCCCGAATTTATTTTCTTCAGGTCTCAGCACTGTGGAAACAGATACATTATTTACGATATTAAAATTGTTACATGTTTCTGTGGCCATCAGTTTCATTAATTTATACTATTCAAAAAATGTTATTACGGTGATCAAGTCAGAGAAAATTGTTTTGGGAAAATTGTATACTCTTTCTTTAAATGAGAAAAAAAATATCAATTTTTGCTTGAACACCTGAAGAGAAGAAACAGTTTGAGTGATCTAGGCGTAGATGGGAGAAAATGTTGAAGTGTATCTTTAAGAAACAGGTTATGAGAATGTGGTCTAGATTCATGTAACTCAGAATATGTTCNTGCATTTCATTTTGAACAATTAAGCTTTCAAATTTATAAAGTTGATTACATAAAAAAAAGTTGCGTAGCAGTGGATCGGTTACAGATCCTGCTCCTTTGAGTTAGACAGCCAGTCGGTTAGTGCTTTAACTGTAGCAGGCAAGTCCTATTACACTCATTCATATACCACTTCAATTTCATTTATATTGTTTATTTAATTTCTTTACTTCTTTACCTGGAGTCAAGGCATTAAGATCCGCACAACAATATTGGTTTTCTCGCTTTTCTAACTCTACATAACACTCTATCTGTTCTTGCTTCTATACATAAGGGAGAAGAAGACAATAATATTCAGATAAGAATTATGATTAATATATTTTGTGACAATGAGTATATTTTCTTCATAAAGATAAGGATTAGTTGCAATAGGACAACGGATGAAATTGTCGTTTGATTATTCTTTCCAGAAACTCTTCGGAAATATCCAGTTGTTCCGATATTAAACCGTGAATGTACGAAAGCCTACAAAATACCTGACACGGACATTGTTCTGGAGAAGGGAATCCGAACGGTTATACCCATATTGGGCCTTCATCATGACCCAAAATATTATCCTGACCCTGAAAGATTCGACCCGGAGAGATTCAGTGAAGAGGAAAAGGCGAAGAGGCACAATTATGTGTACCTGCCTTTCGGAGAGGGTCCCAGGATATGTATAGGTAAGTTCTCTCCAATGACTCGTTATACTACAATGCAAATAATATTTTCAGGTATATGGAAGGAATTGTGTGCTGGAGAACAGTGAATACTCAGGAACTGTATATTTTATTCATTCATTCATCAGTAATCTGTCAGACGACAGGTCCACAGTCTCTTCCAAAACAGTTCCTCCACTTAATGCGATCTAGAGCTTTCTCCTTCAAATAAAAATATCCTCTTCTGTCTCCAAGGTCATCCAGCATCTTCTTACGTCTTCTGGATCTCGCATACATGGTGTCTCTGTTTTTGGAAAGAGACTATCCAGGAAAAGTGATAATGTGGTAGTTTTTCCATTTGCTTTCCACATCGCAGTACAACAGCCGTTCAAACCACTCTGGTCACGCCTTTTGCTATACGAACTTGAACTTGAAGCAGCGCCATCAGCAGCGACACACATATTTTATATACGTCCGAAAATAATATCACGTGATAAAATCTAGGATTGAAGGGCAGGAGGATGATACTGGAGGAAGGGAAGAAATTTGCACATAACATTTTAGTCTGAGGACCTAAAGAGAAATTTCCCAATTGCTACCTCTAGGCACAGTTACGAGAATCATATTAGGATAAGGGACAAATTGTGCGTCAAGATGTATTTATTTATCTTAGGATTTGGCAAAATTAAAACAGTAAATAACCTTCGGTTTCTGTGAAATCCAAGCAAAATTTCGGGTATCTCGAAAATTATTGGCATTTCAAATAAGATCTTGAACTGTGGAAGCAATTAATTAGGACTTTTCATCGTGTTTGTTGCTTATAAATAATGAAAATAGAAGAAAGTGATCTTATCTCTGTACTAAAATATTTTCCTTGTCACTTTGTCCCTAGATTAAATTTATGGTTCCATATAAGGTTAAAGGTTTCGCATTTTACTGTTAGGCGTTACAGGTGGGCTCTTGGGGAATCGGTCCATCTGGAATCATTTATCTTTATCGATGAATAAAGAAAGTCAGAATTATGTGGAAAATTTCTTGATATTCTCTTCCTGGTTTCAAACAGCGAACCCAGCAGAAAAAATAAAGCAGACTAATACGCGACGTAACCGGTCAGGGTAGCTGAGTGGTCTGAGATATGCACAGTTTTCGCATTTTCGGAAGCAGGGAACGTGGGTTAGAATCCCACGCAGGGCATGGACGTTTGGTGTGTGCTTTGCTGTGTCTATGCACAGCCAGAGGCCTTGCGACGAGCTGATCGCCCGTCCAAAGATTCCTGCCGACTGTAGATCTAGTAAACTGAAGTGAAACGTAGAGTTCCATAGAGGTAGGCCAAGGACAGAAATGGGGCTGTAACGCCAAAGAAAAAAAAATGCGACATTTCTTTCTTGAGGACGTTCAATTTTCTTTTCCAGGAATGCGATTCGGGCTGATGCAAACCAAAGTGGGACTTGTCTCTCTTCTTTCCAAGTACCAGTTCAGCGTCAGCAAGAGAACTCCAGTTCCATTGGTGTTTGAAACGAAATCATTCAACTTGTCGCCTGTTGGTGGAATGTGGCTGCAGATTAAGAAGCGCGTGAAGTAGATAAGTTTGTGTAACATGGGGGAAGAAATGAACGAAAATAATTTTATGTTAGCTTTTTTTAATTAGCCCTGAAATATGGTATCTGGAGTATCTAAGTCAAACAGGAGGGGTTCGGATTAATTTCCTGTATGTAAATATTACACTAGTACGTACATAACACAGATTTATTCATTTAATTGCGACTACACTCTATAATTTTCTCTTGGAATAAGTGGAATAAAACCAAATGGTCAATATGTTTAACAATTACTTCATGAAGGTGTAACGGGGAATAAAGACAACACTGCACGTATTCTCTTCACCTCCTTTAGATTATTTCAATCCTTAGATTCCAGTAAGAGGCTCCTTAGTGGCCGCGCCATATCTCAAGCGGTTAGTCGCTGGCTTCCTACCGCGGCGGCCCGGGTTCGATCCCGGGTCTGGTCGAGTGGAATTGTGGTGGACAAAATGGCGCTGGGGCAGGTTTTCTCCGAGTAGTTCGGTTTCCCCTGCCAATCTTCATTCCACCAATTCCTCCACAATCACCCTCACCTACCATCTGGGGCTGGTACAATAAGCCAGAAGTGGCTGCAGTCTCACCCCACTAGCAATAAAAGAAAATATGGCTCATTAAACCAGGCTACAAATTCCTACGGAGTTGGAAGGTTCCCAAAGCCACCCTGTACAGGGTGACGAAGACAAACATCCGGTCGTTTTACTGGTTGAATTGTACCGGATCGGTTTCATATCATCATCAGTAATCTGTCAAGACGACAGGTCCACAGTCTCTTTCAAAACAATTCCTCCACTTAATGTGATCTAGAGCTTTCTCCTTCAAATGACAGTATCCTCTTCTGTCCCCAGGGTCATCCAGCATCTTCTTACGTCTTCTTCCTCGTCTTCTTGTCACTTCTATCCGTCCCTCTATCTTTCCTTCGATAACTTCTTTTAGAAGGCAGTTTCTGCGTAAAACATGACCAATCCAATTAGCCTTCCGTTTTCTTATTTCGTCTAGGATATTCCTCTGCTCACTGACTCTAATTAACACTTCTTCATTTCTCACATAATCGGTCCAACTTATCTTCTCCATCCTTCTCCAACACCACATTTCAAAACTTTCCAGATGTTTCTGATCTACTGCCCTGAAGGCAAGAAATATATGGATTTGAGAAGTGCCCATTTAAGCAATTCAATGGCAATATCCAAGAGACACTAAAGCTCTTCTGGAACTTTAATTTTACCCTAGAATTTTTCCTACATGTTATCTGATATCACTTTGCATATAGGACACCCTGTTTCGTTGTAGCGTTTTTCTTCGATTGTATAGAGACAACGCTACCTTGAGGCGAATTAAATCTTATTGGTCTCCCAGACTTAATGGGAGGAGCACGCGATAGCGTAGTTGGTTGAGATACTATGTTATAAGCCGCAGATCTATTCCCAATGAGGTCATTGAATTCCTTCCAGCAGTATTATGACCTTGGGACCAACTTAGCCTCTATAAGAAATGAGTATCATGAATCTTCCTACGGGTAAAGTGTGGCCTGCGCGTAAGGCTCACAATCTCACCGCCATTTGCGAGCCGACTGTCTAGAAATTGTGGACGCCTTGAAGTCTCAGAAACCTATGGGCATCCACGGTCTGTTACAGGGATAACGTTACCTTCTTTTTACGCTACTCACTGTGTGGTTTAAATTATACCTTTATTGAGAGGTGGCAGTTCTTTTGTTCTGTATAAATATTGATTTAGGAAGATGAGTAGAGAAGCCCCTTTAATTTGAAGAACAGGAAGTAACAAAATTTTAGCACTCATTGGAACGATGATAAATACGAGAACGTTTTAACAGAAAAGGCGTGAAGAGAGGAAATCGCTCATGGGGTGATGATACTGATGGGATTTTAAAGAAATAGGATGTGAGGTTGTGACCTGGATCCAACTTCTTCAGGATCATGTCTAGGAAGAACATCCGGACAGAGTGAGTAAAACATGCCCCTCTCAGTCGAGAGTCCACATGTTCAGTTCTAACTTGTCTCAGATTATTGGAATTATTCCCTACTGTCTGCCTTTGCAGGTTCCAGGATACAACCTCAATTCAGACAACGATGGCTTCCTTCCACATCCTATCCTATTCCTTGCTCTGTACTCGTCATGCCATTCNTAAAGTAACTTTGACTTTGACTTTAATTTTGAAGTCAGTCTAGAGGAAGTTTGCAGGCAGTCAAACCAGTCCGAGTCTGAGGCTGTTGTGAGACAGCAGCCCCCAGTGGAGACGTCAGAGGCGGAGTCTTGTAGCAGCGCCAAATGGTCTCTGAGACAGCCACTAAGGACCTCCACGCGGAAACTAAGGAAGCTACGGCGTTGGAAGCTGTTACTGGACAGCCGGTGAAGATGCAGCAGACTGAGAAGACCTAGTGCTGCTGTAGAGAACTGCTCTATCTATCTACGTATGAGCCGGAATAGCACAGTTATATATATATATTTATTTATTTATTTATTTATTTATTTATAAATAAAGCTCTTCTTGAAAAATGCGGTCTTCTGAGATGTAACATGCGTAGTACGGAGACAGGTCGGAATTTCGGAGGAAAACTTTCTTTCCAAACGTGGGCATCTATCCGAACTACGTGGCGCTACGACACGAAAGTCCTACTCTTCGTAGTCACCGCCTTGAGGTACTGATCGTGAGGGTCGTAATCAACAGTAAAGATGGCGCGCTGCACAAAGAGGTAGACTGTAAAATGCAGCTGACTAGCTGAACAACTGACATATTTAAATGCATAAACACTTAGGTAACATTTTCCTTTCCGTTACTGTTCAATTTTTAGCTTATAAAGAAATTTCAGCTAAAGAGTTACATGACTTTATCCCACCTAACAACAAATAACATTAAAACAATCACTGATATTCATAAAATATTGGCGGTCTGTATTCAAAGGCTACCTTAACTTCGAAAAATAAAATTGTATACCGGCAATAATAATGTTCTTTATGCATGTTTCCAGTTGAAGAAAGTATAAAATTTCTTATGTAATCGTATAAGAATACATTTTAAATATGCAAAGATTTTTCAAACATAAATTCTAAATACCATTATAACCTTGTTTCGTAAAGGAAATCGTGTATGTAGTTGTGCGTTTGTTCATTGGAAACAATTTTCGTTACGATAGAATATTTCGTTGTATAATCAAAATAGAGTATATTCATTTCCCCACGCAGATATGCTGCTAGTTAAAGGGCAACACTAAGAAGGGTCAGACCTGGAATCCGGAAACAAAAATGTATATAAAATGTGAAGGGATTTCAGGATTCAGTTATATTAGAACTGTATAAGAATTTTATTACTTTATGATTAACGGATAAATTTGTTTGGAAATTCATAAATAAGAAACTGAACAGCTGAGTACTTCACATAACCAGGAATGTGTTGCAAATAAGGGTAGTAAATTGCAATATTATTTGGCCACAAGAGTTCTCTGTTTAGGACTACACCACTTGTTCTTTATTTAAACTTTGTTTTTCATACAAATCACGGTGCTTCCTCCCCCCCCCTTCCCCATTACTTTATTTCTTGTGTCATTCTGTATAGCGTACTTCAACTTGCACGGAACTGTACACTTACGTCATTACCACGCTCAAACGACTTCATCTCACTTAACAACAAATAACATTTTCTGGGATATATAACGCCCCTGGTAGTCCGTTTAAAGTCAGTGTACTTTCCGATCATAAGGATCGAAGGCCAATCAAGAACCACATATGAAGCAGAGCTCTATTTCCTCGGAATTGCCTGTTTATTTTCAGCGGCCAGCACGGCTTTGTACCCGAGAAGAGAGAAATCATCATAACCACCTCTGCGACAACCATAAATCATATACATGTTATGACATTGATTCCTTTTACAAAATCTTGATAACTTATATTCAAAGTTTGTCTAAACTTTACACATTAGAATTATAAGCCACCAATGATACTTATATGGCGTCAGTGCATAGTTCTGAGGAGGGAGGAGAGAACTTCCTTTGCTATAGTCAAATATTGGTTCAAACCACAATCGATACTTGTATTTTCATACTGCTACCAGTCGTCACTCTCAGCTTCAAATTTTGACGAATGACGAACGTTTAGTGTTGAATTCCTACAAGAGTATTTCCTTAAATTAGTTTTCGTTATTTCAACTGTGAAGAGGAAGAAACTTACAATTAGTGAAAATGTAGTATTAGTTAGAAGTAGTAGTTAAGTATAATTACTGCACAGCCGTATTTAGTGAAAATCTCTGCAGGAGAGGCGGCCAGTTACCTTATAAGATTTTTCCTTGGCACTACAGCCCCAGTGGGCCTAGGCCTACCTCCATGAACTTCTCCGTTCACTTCGGTTTTTCTAGATCTTACACATTCGGTAGGACTCCTTGGGCGGGTGATCAGCTCGTCGCAAGGCCTCTACCTGTACACAAACACAGGAAAACGCACACACACAAATTAACATCCATGCCCTGAGTAGGATTCGAACCCATGATCCCGGTTTCCCAGCGAGCGAAGACAGTATATGCCTTAGACCGCTCGGCTACTGTGACCGGCAGTGTATAAGAATAATATATAAGAACTCAGTTCGTACCTCACAGGAAACAGATCCGAACCCACGGTCCCGGTTTCCCAGCGAGCGAAGACAGTACATGCCTTAGACCGCTCGGCTACCGTGACCGGCAGCTTATAAGATACAATGGGCAAACTAATGGAAAATGTAACACTGTATAGACAAATCTATTTAGCGTTGTCATGCACATTCCAGGCACAGATACGACCCTGCAACTGGGTCAAAACCGACCTCCTAAACAATGGGTACAGGGGCTCTATCCCCAAGGGAAAGTGACTGGGGGATGAAGCCGATCACTCATCTCCATCTAGCACAGAGGTCAAGAATAGCGGAGCTGTGCCTCCACTCCCCCGCCTTTCTTCATGACGTATTACTTCATTTATTAAGCACCGAGAGAATTTTACTTTCTCTTCGACTGAATTTATATCATGCTTTCACAGACACTGTACATCGTATGTGTGGCGACCATGAACCTCATCGTCAAGCGAACTAGCAGTGTTATATGAATACAAGGTAAGAGTCGGAGAGTTAAATTTCAATGTCGGGAGAATTTTCGCATGAGTTGAGTTCCCTTTTGCGTAGAACTGAATTACTTAACATGCTGAATACAACGGCAGATGTACATCCCATGTGTTTGATGCATGGTCTACTTAACGTCGTTGTTAAGCTCAGACTATTTAATTTATGATTTATTTAATTACGTACTTACTCAGCAGTCCAAGGATCAATTATAAAGTAACTACGAGGTACAAGAGGAAACAAAATAAACAATTTAGGCACAAACGAAAGATGCATCAAGGCAAACTGTATCATTTAGCGACGAATAAAAAAGGATGAATATTTAACTGGGCATGCTGACCCATGCAGCAAAGCTTCTGGCTAATATTCGAGGTGTGCCTTGTTCTAACATCGGCCAGCACGTTGAATATGCACAGAACTTCCGTGTATTTCCTCAGTCCCTCCAGGCAAATGCAGATACAGTGTCTCAAATGAGGCCAGTACCGTTACCTTCTACTACTTTTCGATTAATTATTCTTTAATAATGAAATCGTTCCACGTTTTATACTCAAAACTACTAGCAGATACATTAAACAGATTATGAAATACAAATGGATGATTATACAACGAGAAATAGGAAAGGATTTGGAAAAGCAAGATGGTACAAAGACTTGAGGTACTGTTCTGTTTTGCCTGGAGGGACTGAGATCGAAGACCGCAATCAGATTATCCAGTCTCTGGTCCGAATTTGAACCCACTACCTTCCGGACATAAAGCAGAAATTCTGCCCACTCGACCACAAAGATCGGTCCACAACTAAATGCTTTCCTCTCTTATACACAGAATATGATGACATTTTAAACGGGTTTGTTTGGGTGAATAGGCAACTGCAGTGATATTTTCTTCTAAGAATGTACATCAATGCAAGCATATTATACCGATCCGTCCATACAACATAAACTGGTAAAATAGTCAGAATTAATTAGGCCTACAAAATTCGGCGTCAAAATATGACCTTCATGCTGTGCCCTATAGTACTTAAAATTGCAATAGATAAATTACACATTGCTCATACATCATGGATGAATGCACCAGTGGGCGGATGTAACAGTTTATAGATAAGATAATAATGTGATAGCACTGTAATTAGTTACAAATCATTTGCCTGTTTTCACATATGATACAACTGATTGTGAAGTCTGAGTTTCAAACGTATGTGAATGTCAAGATTACAGTCTTTTGAGTCATGATGCCGTTTTGTTTGGTAGACATGTACCTACAAATTAGAGGAACGTGCTGCCTCGATCTACAATGTAGGCAACTATAGAGAAGAACGCAGCAAGTTCCTCTGAACTGGTCAAGGTCATGTGCCAGAAAACATGTAAACTCCGATATTTTTGTAAGATTTGAGGCTTTCACGGCGGTGACTATGAAGAAAGCAGTCTTCTGGATTTGGCACCGTGTATATGTGGTGTTAACCGACGTTTCGGAGGAACGTATCGCCTCCATCTTCAGGGTAGAAGGAAAAATATAAGAAATCCGCAAGCGAAGAGACCGTGAGACTGCAGACTGGTCTGCTTTTACCGGTTCTCACGGTCTCTTCGCTTGCAGATTTCTTATATTTTTCCTTCTACCCTGAAGATGGAGGCGATACGTTCCTCCGAAACGTCGGTTAACACCACATATACACGGTGCCAAATCCAGAAGACTGCTTTCTTCATAGTCACCGCCGTGAAAGCCTCAAATCTTACAAAAATATCGGAGTTTACATGTTTTCTGGCACANTTCTCCGAGTACTTCGGTTTCCCTTGCCAATCTTCATTCCACCAAATTCTCCATCATCATAATCACACGGGGCAGGCTACAAGAGGCCAATCAGTGGCCGCCGAGCCGAGTAGACCCAGCTGGACACCACCCCCACTAAGCGAATTTAAAAATTAAAAAAAAAAAACTCGTCAAAAAGGGGAGATTGCGCCTTGGAGATAATATCGTCTGGGACACTAATTTCTGACGAAAGGAATTTGAGTATTCATCAGTAATCAGTTAATTCAGTAGCATTTTCAATAGCTCAGGTTATGTAGTGCAGAAGTACTAAGTCGCAAATTTTGGTGATAGAAACAAGATAAAATATACTTTGTTCGCATATGTGTAAAGAACTCAATACAAAATGTTACGAAAGGCCTGCAGTTAGTTTCAAAGATTACTCATGCAACTGATGAGTATATCCTCATTGTGCTTTCATTTTATTCAATTTGTGTACTAATCATACAAGACGCGTGATGTGGATTAATACTTTATTAATCCTACACTTCGAATAAAATGTAGGACTTTATTTATGGGGGCGTCATAAATGTTACTTGGTTGGATGAATAACTGACACAGGTGACGAAATCTTAAATAAGCTATGACCTCACAGTCACATAGGATACCAGAATGAAGTTCCTATCGTAAAATATTAAGGAGAGAAGCTGTGTAATGCTGACTTGCGCGATAATGACCGCGTATCAGTTCGAAGGCTCCCAATTCAGATGCGTCGAAATAGGTGTTGCCGGCTGAAGGCAGTATCACACAACGACCAATCATATGGCGAGAACTGACTTCATAATTTTATGCTCGGGGAAATTATGATCACATGTCTGCTAGTACGTCAGAAAGCGTGTTGGAAGTGCGGCGTTCATGACAGCAGATTCTTGGATCCCGCGTATAACACAGCAGAAACTCTTGTATTTACAAGTAAGTTGCGTGTTCTGCCTAAGATTATTGCTCAAATAATACTGTCACGTGTTGGGTGTGTTACAAGACAAATAACTTCACGCCGTTCTGGATCTAGCGAATTTATTGCACATTCGCTCTTACATTTGCACAGTTCACAATCTCACAACTACTGCCATCGGCAGTATCACAAGTACTTTCATTCACTCCGGCGAATGCTGGACTGCGACTGACTGGTTACTCCGGTAATCCTCCTTGTTATGTAACTTCCGCACGGACAACACAGAAAACAGTTACGTGATAGTAACGTCGTGTTTACATGCGTTGCTGGGGAACGCTTCCGAGAGCTGTTTATTGCTCTTTAGTAACCGCGGTGCCCCCTGTTACGTCACAATAGGAAGTGTTGTTACGTCACCGCGGGGAAAGGGGACGGAGTGTTGACCGGCCTGTTACCGTAGCAGCGGCAGTTGCGGTGATGCTGTTACGTCACTGCTGGAGGGGGGGTGTCCTGCATAGCGCAAATACGTCACAATATATTTGGTTTTACTGTAATTTATCTGTTATGCCTGTATCTAATTGGCATTAGACTAGTTCGTCAAGCATTATAATAAGGGTATAGCCTTAATTTCTTCCTTATATAATGTTACTATATATTTCTATAAGATTACTAAATGTGTTTATTTTAATGCATTATTCTATTCTTTCTTTATTTTAAAATTCCAATATATTTCATTCGAGAGTATAATTGTGTTTTCAGCTTGTTTAAAGGATAAATAGAAAGTAGTAAAAAAATCAAAATGATAGAAATAGACAACGACGTAGACATTTTCTGGGGAATGAATGTGTCTGAGTATTTAAGAAGATCAGAAAGGAAAGCAAAACGGAAAATATTACAAACCTCTACCTTTAAGGCACATATCTTGCCAAACAGAACACAGAGATTTTCAGAACTATAACTTGTGCGGTTTTACTCTGTTTGATTGACTTCTTAGATTCACTTTTGAGCCTCGTATGAAGTAGTAGTAAGTAAGTAGTAGTAATTTCACCACATTATTCATAGTTCAGGGATTCAGTAGTATATGTTTATTCTCGAATGTTTTGTATATGTTCATATAATAACATCCGGATTTACTGACATAAATTAAGGCCACGATACGTGATCAATGTTTTTGTATACACAAGTATAAATCTCAATTTCGTTTCAATGCATTTTACAGTCGACTGTTCTAATCTGAATTGTAATGAATTTTTCAACAGGCTGAGCCCTTACACGTTCAGCAGAATCTTGCTGACAAGTATGGGGTTCCTGTCTGATTCACTGCTTCTGGATGTGGGAATCCTGGTGGCTTGTGTCCTCTCAGTGGTTTATTCTTATTTCAATTGTTCATTCACTTACTGGAAGAAACGTAATGTACCATACGTCGAACCGTGTTTCCCATTTGGAAATTTCAAGGAGGTAACTTTGATGCGGAAAGACTTTGGATATTTAATCAGAGACATTTACTCAAGGTTTGAGGGGCACAGATACGGAGGAATGTACATATTCGATAAACCGCAATTATTTCCCCGAGATCCTGATCTAATTAAGGATGTACTAGTTAAGGATTTCTCTAATTTTCATGATCGTGGTGTCTATATGAATGAAGAAATAGAACCTCTGTCGGGGCATTTATTTTCATTACCCGGAAAGCGATGGAGAAACCTTAGGATCAAGCTGAGCCCAACTTTCACATCCGGGAAGATGAAAATGATGTTCCAGAGATTTGTAGAATGTGGAGACGAACTGAAACTGTGCTTGGAAAATGTTGCGGGAAGGGGAGAGGTTATTGAAGTTAAGGACATTTTAGGTAGGTTCAGCACGGACGTAATTTCGTCTTGTGCTTTCGGTATCGAGTGCAATTGCCTGAAGAATGAAAACGCGGAATTCAGACAGTGGGGAAGAAAAATTTTCCAACCATCAATCAAACGAATAATCGTCGGTATTTTGTCAGGTGTTGCACCAATTGTGTTAGATAAGCTAAAATTGTCTACTTTTGATTCAGACGTTACCAAATATTTCCGGAAAATGGTAGAGGAAACAGTTGAATATCGCGAAATGAATAAGGTGAAGCGCAATGATTTCATGCAACTGTTGATACAGCTTAAGCAGAAGGGCAGCTTGGACTCCGAACAGGGAGCTGAGGACCGAAGTGACGAAGAATTCAGTGGAATTGATGAAACAGCGGATGGTATGTACACTCTCATATAGACAGTGTCCCTTAGATAAATTTAGCTTCTATGTGCATTTACTTTCACGAAACTGGGCTTAATACTGATATATTCAATTTACTGAATATTAGATTTAATTTTACCGACCACACAACACGATTTTTATTTACTGTCACACTACATGTTTCGACCTCAAGAGGTCATCATCAGGTGTACGAACACAGTTGCACAATCACACGCAATCACATTTCGTTTTTCCACTTATTTTTGATCCTGTATCCTTATAAAATATAAGTTAAAAATACAAATGTTAAAAGTTAAAATTTTAACTTTTAACATTTGTATTTTTAACTTATATTTTATAAGAAGAATTTGACACATATTATTTGAGCGTGGACCTGAACAGGATACAGGATCAAAAATAAGTGGAAAAACGAAATGTGATTGCGTGTGATTGTGCAACTGTGTTCGTACACCTGATGATGACCTCTTGAGGTCGAAACATGTAGTGTGACAGTAAATAAAAAACGTGTTGTGTGGTCGGTAAAATTAAATCTAATATTCATTAAAATACACAACAGGATGCAACAAACAATTAAATATTCAATTTACATAAGTCTCAAGCGATACCACCTAATTCACTTTGGCGTCCTCACCACATAACATCCAAATGCTCTTCTTACAAAGGGGCTACTTTTATGAAACTAAATCAAGAGAATAAACAACCCGCTACAGATGCGTGAATGGGGGTATCATTAAAACCAACCTCAGAGAAAGAGATTTTGAGGGCGTGAACTGGATTGAGTTCGCTCAGTATACCTGTACATTTAGATGTAGCTAACTTTTAAAAGCCATAATACATATTCACATTTCATTACGTTCTGTATATTGACAAATGAGCTATCTGTTACGTGGTTAAGGAATGTACTGTAACGTGTACTTGATTATTTCCGAGGTTTTCTTATTTCTGATACTTTAGTTCGATTCCGTATTTAGTTTGTTGTTAATTGGCTTCCTTAGTCTGGTTAATTCCTTCAGTGAGTTGGCTTTGTTCATTTAATTAATTTGGTAATATAAAATGATAGTAATTACACTGTCAACGCGAATGGTATCCCTATTTATTACATTTAAACTTATCGCCGAAATATTGTGAACGACTACATAGCAGAAAAGATCCGTCTGCAGTCTCCACTCAAAAACTCATGGAGCTCAGCCTTTCTTGAGAAGCCACTAATTGTGCAGCTATTCAAAAGCTTCCTAGCATTTTATAGAGCTCGATGTTTCATTGCCGTGTTCAAAGGAGCCCTCCACTAGTTCCTATCCTGAGCCACATCAATCCAATCCATACCATGCCATCCTATCTCTCTAAGATCCATTTTAATATTTTCCACCCACCTACGCCTTGGTCTTACCAGTGGTCTCTTTCCATCTGGCTTTCCCACCTACATGCATTCCTCTTCTCCCTATTCGTGCTACATGCTCTGCCAACCTCATTATCCTTGACTTGAACATTCTAATTATACTTGGAGAAGAGTACAAGTTATGAAGCTCCTCATTATGCCGTACCTTTGGAATATAACGGAATTCCCCGGAACATGAATTCCTTAATTGGTTCAATTAGTTTTATTATCGTTACTTTAACTCTTAATTTTACTTATCTATTGCTGTTAATTTTAAGTAACCACATGATACCGAATTCTTCTTAAGAAGCCAAGAGTCCCACAGAAGCTCAAGCATTTCTCATAATTTTACGAATCCAAAAGTCCCATTACCTCGTTCAAAGAGTCAGTGCGTCTTCTCTGTCCCAAACGAGATAAATTCAATGTATATCACCCCATTCTATACTTTCAGATAAATTTGAATCTTATCCTTCCACAAACGTCTCGATCTTCCAAATGGTTTCTTTTCTTATGGCTTTGTGTGCTACATTCCCAGCCCATATTATCCTCCCGCACTTGATCATTCTACTTGATTAATTTTGTAAGTATATTTAATTCCTTAAGTTACATTAGTTAACTTCTTACGTGTTGTAACACCTCACCCCTTTAACGTTACACTTTTAGTAATTATTGGAATAGAAAGTTATCTAGCGTAAGAAACAGTCCAGCACTCACACAGACACTACACACATCCCATAGGACAATGAGACTTCTTCAAGAAACGATAGAATTAAGAGCTTAATAACAAGGAAAATGAGCAGAAAATACAATGTGCACTGTGTACAATTACGGCCCAATGAACTATATTTCTACTGCATTAAAAAAAGATCTTTTACTTAATAACTTATAAATATGACCGCCTTTGTGGTCTAGTGATCATAGTTCCTGGCTACAGATCCAGAGGTCCCGGGTTCCGTTCCCGACGCTACCAGATTTTCTGAGAGTTAGTGGATCTGGAACGGGGTTCACTCAGCCTCATGAGGATAATTGAATAGTTACTTGAATGGAAAGCGGCCTCCGCAGTCTAGGGGTAATGTTCCACCTCATGACTCAAGGTACGCGGGTTCAAACCCGGCGGAGGTCGTGTAATTTTTAAGGGCCGAAAAATTCAGGGAACAAGTCCTCCGGGAGGGACTTTAAGCCGTGGGTCCCGTGTCTTAGCTTTACGGCACGTAAAAAAACCTCATGTCTCGAAAGGAGGCCAATGAGCTAAACTAAGGAAATTTCCCGCCCAACAGTAGTCTCTAACGCCTCTGGTAGATGGGGGAAGCATTGAGATACCTCTGAGCCAGTAGAGGCCGACCTCGCTGGGTGAGTAGGGACTGATGGTAAGCACCAGTACCGGTAGGGTATAGAGGCTGGTAGAAAATCATAGGGGGAAGCACAATAGATCAAACTGGTCGCGGTGCATGGGGAAACCCACCCCCTCCAACAACAACAACAACAACAAGCAGAACACGTATGGATATAAAACGGAAAATTTGTAGTATTTGAACCTGGAAAAAAAAACATTTATTTTCCGATATGTCCTCCACCAACATTGATATACTTGTCCCATCGCCTTGCTAGTCCATCGAAACCCGCAGCAAAGGAGTTTTTGACTGTTTTCTCAGTCAATTCCGCAACTCCATTTCATTGTCTGCTACTTGCGAACGTCCTTGAGAGAATTTCTCGACCCATTTGTGAGCCGTTTTATGCGACAAGTTTTTTATGAACGTCCTTTGAATTGAGTCGCATTTGCGCACAAAAAAACGTTCAACAAAACGATGCTTTTCCATATTTCACTCCTCATGCACCGTCGCCATTTTGACTACTGAAATCAGCCTCTGAACATGAGCATTCGCTTCTGCTACCTAGACTGTCATGAAGCTAGACTATGGTGCTACCTACTGAGAAAGATTACAGTTATTTTACTGCCAATTGTGTCCTATTTCCTGACTCTCCCTCTCACTGGTCCGTCGAGTACTACATGTAGACATATATGGGATTTAAGAGGACTGCTATATCATTGGGAACAGTTATCATGGTTGAAATGAAGTGCTATATTGTGCGCAGAGTTGGTTTTCACAGCCATCTCACTTGTAGGCTATTCGGGTGGTGGCTGATTCCAGTCTCGACCTGTCGGTTGAATGCAATTCCTTGTGGTGTCTCAAATGCTGCCCCACTTTCTCTGCATTATCTACCCTTTCCAATTAAAAACAGTGCATTTAATTTTTTTTTCCTATTTAAATCAAGAGGAAGAAATTCGTACAGTTGAAAAAGTCGCTAAATAAACTACGAATTTAGTATCAATTGAAGAAAGCAGTCTTCTGGGATTTGACACCGTGTATATGTGGTGTTAACCGACGTTTCGGAGGAACGTATCACCTCCATCTTCAGGGTAGAAGGAAAAATGTAAGAAATCCGCAAGCGAAGAGACCGTGAGAACCGGTAAAAGCAGTCTGCTTTTACGTTCCTCCGAAACGTC